CTGCCTGACTGACGACAACAACCCTCACTGTACCCTGCACAATACGGGATTACAGCACAAGGCGAGCAACAGTTTACAAGTTGCTTTGCCAAGTTGAGCACTTTGAGGGTTCAATTCAGACTCTTGGGGTTTTTTTAGGCTGTGGATGTTTTTGTATCAGAGTACATGAGGCCTTAAAATCCTGTGTTGGCAAACAAACAGTATCATATTGCAGCCACCACCCCAACACCTTTCACAACTAGGGAAACTTTGTGGAATTAAGCTTCTGGCTACACAGTCGTCGAGCTGCTTTCGAGTACAAACAACACAGTTTGATTTAAAACTGTAAACTAATCAGCCTCAGCTTTCAGACTGAACATAGAATTAAAACACTCGCGTCACCGTTTCTGACACTTGGTTGAAAGACTCACTCGGCCTGTCACAGTGAGTGACAGCACAAAGTTGATTTTGATGTTATTTAACCAGGAAGTCCTGCAGGGTTAACAGCATTTTGCAGGGAAAGGAGGAGGGGCTTACTTTGTAGTCACTGCCACAAAAGTTCTAGAAACAAGTGTCGCCGCTCGGCAGGTGTTTTGAAATACCTTATTTCAGGTGTTATTTTTAAGTATCACCTACATTTACTTTAACTTGTATGGTTACCAGGAAAGAGTCTCACGTGGCCGTCTCTGTTATTTACGGTTGTCGTCTTTCTGTCCCACAGCTTTGAGGTCAGGACTCTTTGAGCGCCACGTCTCTCTCTGCTCTGACCGAATCAGTAAAACATCCAGAACTGACTTTAAATTCTGTGAATGGCTCCAAACTTCTGAGAATAAACCGTGGGGTAAACGGGCAGCACAGTTCAAGTGTAGCGTGGCCTGCTTCATTGTTCTTTCTGTTTATGAGTTTTAAGAAAGGATCTGTGCGAGTGCTGCGCTCTGACAGGACAAACCTGCATTTAAGGCGTTTTTGAATTCAAGGACACAAAGTCCGACATCTGATGTGTTTGAAGCATCTAATCTTAGAAGATCAATGCTAAGAGCTAGCTGCTATGGCGGCTACCTGCCCCTCCCTGATATGCACCACTGCAGTTTTATGGGTTGCCAGTAAATAACGGTGCATTTCAGAGACTTTCAATGTCTGTGTTAGGAAGGTCAAGGCGTGCAGGAGGTGCAGGCTAACATTTCATCTACTAATGGGTTTAATTTTTTACTCACTTGTTAGATTTAAGCATAAAAATACTCGTGAGTTTGATAAAACACTATGAAATGTTCAGTTAAGGTTATAAAAGATTACAAGTAGCAATAGAAAACCAACAGATGCCACCCCGACCTCCTCTCTACCTCAACAGATAGTTCGACTTCCTCCTGCCATCATCACTGCCGCCACAGAGAGTCCTGTCACCAGAACAGGAAGTCTACTCATTACCATTCACCGCATCAGAGAGAAACACATAAGATTTGTCTTCATAGTTTGATCCACATATTTATACACATCCAGATTCATC